TCCAAGTAGCTGGGACTACAGGCACAGACAGCCACAACCATCTATGTTTTATTTTTGTTTTCATTTTGGAGAGGTGGGGTCTCCCTGTCCTTCCAGAGCTGGTCTGGAACTCCTGGGTTCAAGGGATCCTCCCACCTCAGCCTCTCAAAATTTGGGGATTACAGGTATGAGACACCATGCCCAGTCAATCTGATCAAAAGATCGAAAACATACATTGCTACATCACAGGCACAATTTGTGAGAGAAAGGTAAAAAAATAAAATAAAATAAGTAGTTTATGTTTTAAAAGCAAAGACTATTGATGTTCTGGGGATAGAAAATGATTTATTTCCCAGAATCTTTTGATAAAGATTATCCTCCTAAGGGAAAAAAAAAGACTACGCAAAACAAAAATCTACATGTAAGTAACCAGAATGAAAATGATTTGATTAAAATGGAGAATATAATTTGACAAAAACAAAAGCAATTCATTATTTTATAAAGAATAAAAACCACATTATAAATAAATACTTCTTTCTATTTCAGTGAATTGTGTTCACCTCCATTTTCTTAGTTTTACAACCTTGAAATTTGCTTCACGAAGCCTGAACCACATATATTCAAGAGTATGAATATGTGTTTTTCATGAAATAGAAATTTGTCCCTATGGAACTGAGGATGCAGACCTGGAGAAGTAGGAAATAATTCTATATTGGTAAGGTATTAAATGGCAGCTTACAGAGACATGATTTTTTTTGAAGAGGAGTGACAGATTGAAGTTTCCACTTAAGGAAGATTATTCAGGCATTGTAGAGAGTGAATTCATTACATCTCTTGTCAGGGCAAGCAAGCTGAAGGGAGAATCTGGGAAAGGAGGTTTCAACCTAAAGAATTAAAAACAAATTAGGTTTCAACCTAAAGAATATGAAGTATTAGTTAATAAAATAAAAGGTGAAATAAGTAACTGAAGCTTAAGAGAGAAAAGGTCTGATGGATGTTATAAATTTCATAGTTATATGTCAGGGAGGCTTAAGTCATGAGAATTGCAGAACTTTCTTATGAATACTTATTAGAAGGACATATTCAAACCAATGCTGATCAGGGTTACAAACATAAGGACTCTAGTTTGAAATCTGTTACACAGTATGGTGACTATAGTTAATAATACTGTATTGTATATTTCAAAATTGCCAAGGGAGTAAATTTCAAATGTCTTGCCACAAAGAAAATGATATGTGAGGTGATTAATGTGTTAATTAGCTTGTTTTAATTATTCCACAATTTATGCATATATCAAAACATCAAATTACCTCATAAGTATATATTATTATTATTTGCCAATTAAAAATAAAAATAAGAAATTTGGTTTGCAAAGCAGAAACAGGAACATTCCTCAGCCTCACAAATATGGTCTACAACCATTTTTAGTGTGTCCTCTAGAAGAAATGTTGAAACCATTTACTTCAAGTAAACCTTGAAACCATGCAGTATGAGCCCTGAGGCACTTTTATCAAAGCAAAGTGATCTTTCCTGTCTAGGCTAAAGAAATAGATGCAGTGTCAAAAGGGGCTGCGAGGAGGCACCTCGCCCACTTCCTCCTGCGGCTTTTATCTGGGCTCCCTCTCCAGACCAGGCTGTGAACCCGACCCAGCCTATGACCTAAAAGAGCAGAGAGCCTACTGCAGATACACCAGATGCTACATGTGCAGAGGACAGGCAGTCTCAGTGACTGACCTATTCAGGATAGGAAACAGGACACTCCCTCTGATACAGACCACAGACCTCGAAGAGTCTGTTAGGATGATTCCCTGTTATCATAGACATTAAGCTTCCATAAGAGAAGCAACTCTTCTAAAACTCTATTTATTTATTTATTTATTTACTTATTTGTTTGTTTGTTTATTTATTTGGAGACAGAGTCTTTTTCTGTCACCCCGGCTGGAATGCAGTGGCACGATCATAGCTCACTGCAACCTTGACCTCCTGAGCTCAAGCAATCCTCCCACCTCAGTCTCCAAGGAGGCAGGGCTACAGGTATTCGTCTTACTGTTTGGTTATTTTTTTATTTATTTATTTTTATTTTTTTGTAGAGACAGATCTCACTTTGTTGCCCAGGCAAGTCCCAAACTCCTGGCCTCAAGTGATCCTCCCACCTCAGCCGCCCACAGTGCTGGATTATAGGCATGAGGCGCCATACCCAGTATCCATCCTAAAATCTTAAAAAGCTAAGGACATTCAGAGTGGCAACTCAGCTAACTCTGCTCTCAACTGACCTTCAGAAATTGGGTTTGCCCCTAATAGCCTTAAGAAGTATCCAGTCTTTTCTCTTCAAGTTCTTCTGAGCCAGGGAACTCTTCATTTGAGTAAACGTTCCCAAGACTTGATCTACCTCAGAATCATGCAAGAAGCTTTCAATAATTTGAGACTCTCGAGCCCTTCTCCAAAATATTTCTATCCAGTAGATCCTGGTGAGCTTGAGCCACTATTGTTGAGAAGCTCTCCCAGATGATTCTGATACTGCTGATCCAAAGACGCCCACGAGGGCAGCACTGTCTAGGGGTCCTCAGGCCCGGCCTGTTGCCTCTGCTGGCCTAAGAACTTAACCCTTTGACTCTGATTTTTCCTGCCATGACATCGTCTCAACCTTCTGCCACCCATAAGCCCAAATCCATATGCACATTGAACATAAGCATTTCTTTCACCATTTAAGTGGTTTTAATTAAACTTAGGTTTGTTCTACCTTAAAACATAATCCAGACTAGCTCTCTCTCTGTATTAAGTTCCTAGGGTATCCTTGTATCACAGCCAAGTGGCTTAAAACAAGAGGAGCAACTTATCTCACAGTTCTCGAGGCTAGAAATCCAAAATCCAGGTGCCAGCAGGGCCCACTCCCTCTGAAGCCTGTAAGGGACTCCCTCCTTGCCTCTCCCTGGCTTCCATGGGTTTGCCCACAATCCCTGGCTCACTCCAATCCTCAGTCTTCATGTGGCACCTTGGAAGAAAGGGAAGGTCTACTGTCTCTCTAGCTCAGTAACATCTTGTCTGTCATCTTTTCCCCAAAGCATCCCAATTGCGTATTTTCCCTTCTGATTTTTATTTTTATTTTTAATGAGTGATTTTTATCTCTCTGTGTCATCCCAGTGTCTTTCCTCTGTGCTTTTCTGTCTTTGCGTCAAATTTCCTGGTTTTAATGCCATCAGTCATAAGGAATTAATGACTTCATTTTAGCTTAATAACTTCTATAAAAACCACATTTCCAAATACAATCACATTCTGAGGTATGGGGAATTAGGACTTTAGTGTATCTTTTTAGAGGACAAAATTCTTCCCATAACACTCTTCTCAGCCCTTTACTGTCAGAGTATTCTCTTATTTACTCAATTATTCATAAAAACAAAATGCTCTGCTAACTGAAAGGTCTATGTCATTCATTACAACTAATCTATGTTAACTGTATTAATGTTAATGCTAATTTAAATGACTGCTTAGTACTTTACTAAACATTGAATAAAATTATTTGTTAGTTAATTCTCATTAAATAAAATGACTCTCTTGCTATAGCATGATTTACATGCCATGGAAATCACTTCTTATGTTGACTTTGCTTCTACAGACCTGGCTTCCTAGGAGAGAATACGAAAGTATGACAATTCATATATTTTTGTTAAAATGATAGTTTTGCTCTTAACCGCTCAGAAAAAAAATCAAAAGATACAATTTGATAATAATCATTTATTGGTGTATGTCCTTTTTATTAGCGATGATTGCAGCTCTATGCTTTTTGTGTTTTGTTTTACTTTTCTCTTGAAATGTCAGCCCTATTTTTAAAGTAAGTTGATTCTTTCCAACCTCTTCTTCTGTATCTTTTGCTAGCTCCTTGTTCTCTACTCACCTTGTATTAAGTCCCATTTTTGGTTCTAGTCTCAACTATCTACTCTCTCTCCCAAGGTGATCTCATCCAAGGCTTTTAAAATATCAATATTGTTCATGATTCTTAATTCTAAATATGCAGTCCAGGCTTGCCCTCCGGGTTCCACACTCGTGTACCTGACAGCTTTGGCCTCAAGTCTCAGAATCTTAAAGTATCTAAAACAGAACCCTTATGTATCCAAACACATCTGCTGCACTTACACACACACACACACACACACACACACACACACACACACAAAATACCCAAGCACCACAGTTCATTGTGTTACTCCTGATGTAACCCTTCAGTATTGGCTAATGCAGAATGGTTTCAATACCAGTCACAGTATAACTCAAGTCTCATTAGTAGACAAAATTTGAATTTCACTAACCTTTATCTTTTCTAAGTTTCATAACATGAACCACAATGTTGAAATAAAGAAAGAGAATGGAAACAAAATGATTAAGAATTATATTACAGAGGAGAATAAAAGAACTATTAAAATTAAAACCATGTCAAAGCCAAAGTATCAGTATAAATACATAGTACAAGAAATATATTTTGGCATTCGCTGTCCAATATCTATGACAGGTGAGCTGCATCTTTCACAGCACTTAGTTAAAAACATGTTACCACAGCTACACCAACCCCCTACAGACTCCTCTTAACACATTTATCTCGGCACTGTAGTGTCATAGGTGCTTTACTCACAGGTGGTTTGAATGTGGTATAGAAAGAAACTTAACTAAACTTCATTTCCACTGTGAGAAAAAAATGCTGGTTTTCTTTAATTTAAGAGAATGTTCTCTATTTATTTATTTATTTATTTTTATAGAGTGTCACTCTGTCTCCCATGTTGGAGTGCAATGGTGGCATCATAGTTCACTGCAGTCTCGATCTCCTGAGCTCAAGCGATCCTCCCGCCTCAGCTTCCCAAGTAGCTGGGACTAGAGGCACAAGCCACCACGTCTGGCTAAAATTTTTTAAAATTTTTTGTAGAGATAAGGTTTCGCTATGTTGCCCCGACTGATCTGGAATTCCTGGACTCAAGCAATCCTCCAACCTTGGCTTCCCAAAGTGCTAGGATTATAGGCATAAGCCACTGTACCCAGTCGGATGTTCTCTACTATAAAAAATATTCATCTATGAGTTAAAAGCTGCCTATTTTCCCTAAATTTTGTAGGGTTTTCTGGTACCACAGATATGTCCAGTGAAAGTTTTGAGTTCTATTTCCCTGATTCATAGGTCTAATAGTAAGACTTTCACCTTGAAGTGACAAAAGGTGCAATGAATGTCCATGGGTAATAATAACATCCTGAGACAAAGTTGCGCTGAACATGCCAAAGTTGCGTTGAACATGCCAGAGTCTGACCTCTGTGAGGTCGGAAAGATGTCTAAAGCTCTGTGGGAATAATGCCTGCCGAAATTAGTTCAGTGCTTCACTGAGGCTACTCTCAGAAAATGGCTCTGAAATGAGATGTAGCATGTCAGACTTTGAAATCATGCAATTAAGGTTTATTTAAAAGTGGTACCTGAAAAGAATGTGCTAAAAGCATAAGATCAAGTGTTTCTTTTTATGTATAGATTACACCTATCTAATAAGTATATACAGTATTATAAAACAAGCAAAACTGAAAGTATCCTTCCAAAAAAAAAATGTACTTAAAGGCTCTTGGATGACTAGATGAATTAGTGACACAGTAACGAATCACTTCTTTTAAAAAAATTTATTTCACATAGTTTTTGATGGGCCTGTATTCATACTTTTCACTTTCTCTTTAATTTCATCTAGGAAAATCAGGAAGATTACAAACATAAAACCATGGAGCAAACACCTTGAGGGCAGAAGCCTGGAGAAAAACTAATGATGAAAGACAGCCAGAGCAGTGGAGTGAGGAAAGTAGACAATGACTGAGATTTTGCAAACCAAAGCTCATCCACAGATACTAGCTTGAAAAGGATATGTTTGCTCCAAGTAAATTTCCCAATTTGAGTTTTTATTTTCCCACTCCGGACAGTAGTTCAGAGGAAATGGGAATAAGATAATGAAAAGCTTTTTATATGTTTCTTTAACTTTTAGGAGGAGCTAATGTACCATCTATTTGATGACCTCCCAGTCAAGCCTTAGTCATAAGCATGTAGATTGTCTTCAGCAGATGTGTTTTCCCAATGCCATCCTCTTTTAACACCCTCGTTAGTTCACTGCCTCATAACCTCCATTGTCTGATAGCTGGTGGAAGCAGAAAAAAACATAAAAGGGCAAAAAAAGACAATTGGTTTCAGTAGAAAGTGCACCAGATCTGGGAAACAGGGATCTCTACCCTATGATATGCTGAAGCAGGCTTATATGGACTCGGAGTTAGAATTGGTTTTGTTAGATTTTTAGGAATTTTGTGAGCTAGTTGTTAAATACAGCCATTATTAAAAAATAAATTATGCAAACTTAAATGTAAAGAAATCCTACTAAAAGCCAAGATACTGAATAGTTAATAGTTATTCCCTCCAAATTATTTTGCTGTGTTTTACTTTACCAATGCTTTTGAGGTTATGCCTATCTTATGTATATGATGGAAATGCTATATAAAGGTAAACTTGAAGTTGATCAAGATGGAAGTATCTACACCAAAGAATTTGGCAAACCCCACAAATCAGCGGTTGCTTACTGTTTTGTTGATTGTCTAGGCTTTTTAAATAATGGAGAAATATTTTAAGTAATGCATATTAAACCTAAAAGTGTGTCATGTCTATAGACATTACATTGTCAATAGCATGAAAGAAACTGAGGAAATAATTTTTAAGTATTTAAAAACTATTATCCAGTTCAGCCAAGAATCTGTTCATGTAATTGATGAAGTAAAGTTCTAATATTTTCTTCCAGTTTTCACTTTCCTCTTCTTAAAGCAAACAAAAATATTCACCAGCATTCATGTCAGATCTATAAAACCAAGAGTTTGTCAAACTCAGCAAAAAGATTCTGCCAAAATTAAATGGCTGTATGGAATTCACACTAAAGACTGTTACGTATTTTACTACTGCTAATCATTTGTCAGCTGAGAGTTACACATCTTTTACATAAAGAAGATTATCTTGTATGATATTACAATGTAATATATACATATGTTTTGTTTTGGTTACAATTCAGTTGTTAAATGCTTACCATCACCCCAATATTTCTACCATCCAAAAACTACTGATTATGGATAAATTGTTTAACTCTGTGAATATCAACTTCCTCACCTGCAAACAAATGAAATGAGTATCTACCTCACAGGATAGTTTTAAAAGTCAAAAGAAACGTTTATGTCAAAACCCTGTACGGATTGCAAATGTTATGTATTATCAGAAATTCAGCAAATATGTTTTAGCTCCTAATATGAGCTCTAACAACTTGCAGAGTTTGCAAAGGTCACTAATACTATGGTCCCTACCCTCAAGTTGCTTACAATCTAGTGGTGAGAAATATGTGTTAATAACCTAAAATTATTTAAGAGTGTATCAAATGTTTTATAACAGAGGAAAAAGTGAAGTGCTATGAGATTATAGGAATATAAGGGATTTTACCTGGAGCACCAAGGAAGACTTCGTTAAAAAATGGAATTTTAAGATAAGCTTTGACAAATAAGTTGCATTTGTATCAACTGAGAAAGTGGAAAGAGGGGCATGCTTGGCTGATGGATGAAATCTCAAAAACATTATCATCACAATGCCTGTTAAGAAAATCATAATTGCATTGATAAATCTGCTACATAAAAACCGTACTTGTTATTTCCATGTAAAATAGAAATTATGCATTATACATTATGCAATCCAGCGTGCCTACCCATAATCTTACATTGAATCAACAGTTGACTCAATGTTTAGTCAGTTTTTCCAACTTACAAACCATGTCCCTTTCTAAAAACCAAAGTACAAATCAAGCTCCTGCCTTCTTAGTGAAAGAAAAATTCATATTGTAAATTTTTAAAATTATTTTTCAAGAAAACTATAAAATATATTTCATTCAAGTATTTCACACGACAGAAGGCACTATCCATTAGACTTAAAAAGTGGTCACTGATTTCAAACCTACGAATACATAAATTACGCATGCATTATGTGAACAATGAAGGGCACATCCAAAGTGAGGTTTTCATGGGAGACTGGAACACTGAGGCAAGAGAAAAGTGAAAACATTCTACAACCTTCATGTAAACAAGGACTAACTACTAAAAAGCACGATTTTATCTCTCAGTTAATAAGTCTTGCAAGGGATGACATTACTAAGTAAAGTTCATTGCAAGCTTTTTCCTCTCGCTTGTCAAAATATGCTAGGTTTATATTGGTGACTCGAAAAAAACATACAATGCTTCGAAGAAAGCTTGACAGAGCACTCAGAATCTGTCTCAAGTATAACGCAAGGGAGATGTCTATTAATCTCTCACACACACAAGTTTGACTCAAAAGGTCTGTGGCCTTGACCTCAAGTGACCATGGAATAGACCACAGGGCCAGTCCAGGATCCAAAGGGATTAAGAGGAGCATTTGCTCTGCTCTGAAAGGCCCTTTTTTCTCCACTCTAGTTTCTAACTTCCCATTACACACACTCCCTCTGCAAGGCACCGCGCCAGTGGAGCCGGTTCACTCTGTTCTCTCCTTGATGACAGCTGTCAGTCTGTCGCCGCCTGAACATGCAACATTTCAACAAAATCCAAAGCGGAATTGGAAGGGCAGGGGCTGAAGCACACAGCCTGATCTCCTTCCTGGAGGTCCCAGACTCCTTAACCATCACCTTTCAACCTGCCGAAGGTAAGAACCACCTCACTCTTCACTAACAGAGTTGAGGAAGCTTCTGTCTCCTCAGAACCTGGGCATTCACACACATTGTGTAATTAAGCAACATTCCTGGATATCATCCTAAGAAGATAGAGCCCGGAAGTCCCCGTGTAACTTCATCACGAACTCGGAGGGTGCTAAAGCCAGGTGTCGGATCAAGGGGCAGGGAAATCTCTCACTCCCCCGGCGCCTGGACAGCAACCCCTGGACCGCGTGGCGACGCCCGGCGGGAGCGCGGCGAACCCCAGCGCGCGGGACCGGGGGTGAGACCGCGCCCTCCCGCAGGGCAGGGGCGACCCAGCGAGTGCCCGCGGCTGGAGAGCAGTGCGAGCCCAGCCGGGCAGCGAGGAGGCTGGGAGCCGGGCGGAGCGCCCTGCTCACCCTTTCGCCCCTTGCCTGGAGCTGCGAAACCGCAGCGGGAGCCGGAGAGGCCGGTCCTAGAGCAGGGACCTGTCCTGGGGCAGGGGCGCGCGGGGCACTCACCAACTGCAGCGCGCAGAGGCAGATAAGCGAGCAGCGTCCGGTGCAGCAGCCCATGGTGCCGGCAGCGTCCGAGCGGCGCTGACTGCCAGAGATCCGCGTCCTCCGCAGCTGCTGCCTCCTGACTCCGGAGTAGTCCCCGCCCGGCCCGGCCCAGGCTCCCTGGCCCCGCGGCCGCCGCTCGCGGCTCCTGGGCTCCGGGCTCGCGCCCGCCTTTGTTAGTTTCCCGGCGGGGCGGGCAGAGGTCAGTGCGGCGTGCACTACCCGAGCGTCTGGCGGGGGTCCCTGCGTCCCACTGTGCAGGTCTGCTTCTTGGGGAGGGGGAGCCAGGCAGGCGGGGCGGGGGGCGGAAGGAGGCTACAGATGGCTAGTGGGTGAATGTCTGTTTAGGGGAGGGGAGTATGTAGGAGGTGGGCGTCTGGAAAGTGGAGTGGGCTGTCTGGGTCCGGGTGTGTGTGTGTGTGTGTGTGTGTGTGTGTGTGTGTATGTGTGTGTGGTGGGAGGGGAAGAATGAAAGGGAGTGCCTCTAGGGAGGATCGGCCTGTCTAGTTAGGAGTCTTTGGGGAGAAAGGAAGAGGAACAGAGAGAAAAGAGAATGAATATGAATGAGCGTGAATTAGGGCGGCCGGCGGCGATGGAGACCCTCGTTGACCGGTGTAATTGGGTAGACCCAGCTGGGCTTTCTCGCTGAGGGTTGCGCTGGGGATTGGGAGGGTGGTCGGACGCGTTTGCAACGGAAGGGACACGGCTTAGTTGAGCTGCCCCAGAGGTGGCGAGGATGGGAGTTGGGATGGCTTGGGGTCAGGGGAGGAAGGGTCGGGGCGCGAGACACCCAGGATGGGCGGGCGCGGCGGAGCTCAAGGCCGACCTCCGGAACCTGCCCGTCTGCTAGGGGGCCGGCGGGCGCTGCGCGGGTGAGTCTGTTCAGCCGGCGTTGAGCTCTCAGGTCGGGGGTCTCCGAGCCGAGGTCGCTTCTGCCTGCCGCAGCCGGTTGCCTGGAGGACGCCCCTGCTGGAGTCTGAAAGGGAAAGTTGGACAGAGTTGGTTGGCAAGGGGCGCTGCGGCTGAGAGGTGCTCTGGCCCAGGGCGCCGGGACTAGCCAGGACGCCGCGGGGAGACCTGGCTTAGGGTTCTCAACTCACAGACCCTTTGAAATCCTCACCGGGAGGCAGACAAGAGAAGTCGAGAAAGAAGAAGATGCGTAGCTTTTTCTAGAAATGGGGAAGGTTTCCGGAATGGGCATAAATATGTCTTCATAGAAATAAATTGTTTGAGAAGGATTTGGAAATCAGATCTCGGATAATTAAGATACAGACAAACTCTGTGAATCCTGTGGAAACTCTCCTGCTCTCTCCCACTTAATAAAACAGAGAGGAGGCGTTCTGCAGAGGATTACATTTCATCAGGGCTCAAAGTCAGATTTTATGGGCGCATTTGTTGTACCTGGTGGAACTGCGCAAGGAGCTCAAAAGCACACCAGAACAGGGAACAGGCCTGCAGGCCAATTATCTCGGAAAAGGCTGTCTTCAGAATGTGGCACAGAAACCCTGTTTCTAGCCCACTGCTGCCCTCCTGGGTTCTTGGCGGTAGGTTGGTAAGAAAAGGCAAGACGTCTTTGCATTTTTAATACTTCCACTCTAGACATGGAAACTGCTCAAGCCCTTAGTTTGGGCATTAAAGGCAGTCCTATTTTTATTTTTATCCTCTTTCTGAAACGTTTCTTCAGGATATATGTTTATAATTTAAGACGGTTATCATTCCCAAGGAAGTCTGCACATCTTTGAAATTCTAGTAGGGACACACGAATAACTTCAGGATTTGCGTTAATAAAAGGGTCAAGAACATGCTTTGTTTACATGCCGCCTCTGTTATTATCATGGAGAACGGAGAAGTCGAGTCAGAACTCCCCATCCTTTTTTAACCTAAGCTTTAAGACATCAGTGATCAAGGATCATGTGAGCACCCTGCCTTTATGCACAATCCACATACTTGTCATCATTCTTGATGGATGAAAACAATAGGAAAAAATGAACACTGAAAAATAAGTAGTTTAGCATATAGAAAAGGACGTTGCAGAACATCTCAGGCCATTGACCCTCTAAAAGCTGTAGGAAGCAGCTGAAAAGTGAGAGGACATGAACAAGTCTTCTATCTATAACTTCCAGAAACTGTTGTAACCTCTTCATCTCCAGAGACTGTGATGAATGATGGTAATAAAAATACTGACACTTTCTTCTCTCCAAATCACATATGTTTACCCCAGTATACTTTGTCATGATTTTATTTATTTAAGAAGTACCATATTAGCAGCTAACCTGCACTGGGTCCTTGCCAGGTGCCATACACCCATCTAAGTGCTTTATATGTGTTCACTCATTTAATGATGACTGCACCCTCATGGGGTGGGTGCTGTGAACATCACCACTGAAAAGATAGGGAAACAGGAGGAAGGGCTCCCCTGGCTGCTAAACCAGGAAGAGGAATGCAAAGCCAAAGAATTTGACTCTAGAGCTCCTAGATTTACATAATCCCTATGCTGCCCCTGAAACTTGGGACACAAATAGCAGTTACCCACAGGGAAGCTAACTGTTCCCTCATAAGTAGGTGTAATAATGTACATTGATCTAACATTCAGAGTTAGTATCACCCATGTGGTATGATTTTAGGAGATCAGGAGGGTCCCTTGTACCTCTCCCTTTCCCATTGCCGCCTTTACTGATAGCCTCAAATTGGAGTTTCTTCCTTGTGTAATTTAAGACCGTTGAAAAATGCATTTGTACTAAATGCATTTAAACAAGAAACAAAGATAACACAATGCTAATAAGAAGTCTAGAAATTGTGTGAAGCTACCTTTATTTCTCTTTGCAATCTCTTCTCATTTTCTAAATTGTATTACATCCTGAACTAAAAATCTTTCTCCCTTCCTTTTTTTCCTTCCTTTCTCCATCCTTCCCTCAAATACTTCTTACTAGTTCACTTCTTAATTGCTTCTATGCAAAGGGCTGTGCTAGTTGCCTGCTCGGCAAAGGTAAATGGTATCACGCCCTCTCTTGCCCTCGAGGGCTTACAGGTGGGAAGGGAGAGCAGATGCAGGCATAAAGTAGCACTCCCTCTGAAAGAGGTTAGTGCCAACTGGTTTCATTAAGTTTTCTTCCTGTGAGAGTTAGAGAAGGTTTAAAAGAGGAATTACCAGTCTCTTGGGGAGAGGAAATGAGACTAGAAAATGACAGAGCAATGGAAAGGATGGGGCCTGGACAGGAGTTTGGTAAAACCAGCTGGAGAGGAAATAATCTAAGTAGAACAGCCCATCCAATATATGGCTGTTAATACTGCTTCTTGGCCGTAGAATCTCAGGGAAGCCATTTTGCTCCCCTGTGAGCCCTATTTTCCCCATACTTAAAGTGGGTGTGATAAAAATGACTGCCCCAGAGGGCTAAGCCTTAGCCTTTTCCCCTTGCTTGTCTCTGTGGAGTTTACAGCCTTGACTCATGCAGGTCTCAGCCTCATGTCACATCCCATGGAGGCCTTTACTTAACAGGCCTCCTAAAATAATACTCCAGTCACTCTATTTTTCTTCCAACTAACTGTTTGCATACTGTATGATTTCCTGTCTCCCCAACTCAAATACAAAGCTGTTTTCCCAGTGCTTATAACAGTAGTTAAATTCAATATTTGTTGCAGGAAGAACAATGATGGGTGTACATTTTTAGCATAATACTTCACACGTCATGTTGAACATATATGTATACATGCACATATATAGTATGTAGTGAGTATTAAACATATGCACACACACACACACACACACACACACTTCTTAAAGCCATTTGAGTCTATGTGTTTGTTTTGTTTTGTTTTTGTCTTATGTCTATCTCTTCTATGCCTTTATTTCTTGGTGAAATTCCTTTTGAGAAACTTCAGTCCTATCTCCCTTAAGGGAAGAGTGAGTTGTCCAAACTAACAGATAACCTGGGGGAGACAGCACATCCAGAGGCCAGATCTACAAGTGCAGATTTCCAGATTCCCAACTTCTGGGGATTCACTTTCAAATACTGGCTGTGGGACACCAGCTTTAAGTTTCTCCTTAAATTAAGATTATTTTGAATTAAAATTACTCCTTAATTATTGCACTGTTTTTTATTTGTTTAATTGTTTGTGTAAGCCTCCCAGTTCTGCATTTTTACTGAGTCGAAGAGTTTATTGCCTGATTAAGCATTCTACCTCCATTGTGAAAAGTTCTTCAAAGTATTAGTAAATGTATGTGTTTCCTCTGATGCCTACTTAATTGTGAGAACCTCATTGGGGCCTTCATGGAGCAAGCAAATTATAATTCTCTTCATGATTCTCTTCATCACTTCGTGATTATCTGACAGATATTTCAAAGCAGTATGCCAGCTCAGGTGGAGTGAAGATAAGGTTTACACTGGAGCAAAATGTGGACACACATGTATGGCGAGTTTGAAGCATGCCTGGGAAGGGCCGCAGAACATAAG